GACCGCGAGATCGTGACCTGGCTGAAGTCGGACGCTTAACCGACTGCGCCACCCAGGCGCCCCTGGGGACATTTCTTTAGAGTACCGTTAAGTAACAAAACTGTCAACCAAGGATTTACACCGAGCTCTCACAATCAAAGGCAAAATAACGAGTTATTCAGACATACAAAAGCTGAAAAAGAATCATCACCAGTAGATCAAGCACCACAAGAAATGTTCAAGGAAGTCCTTCGGGCGGACAGAAAATGATACCAGCTGGAAATCTGTATCTATGCACAGGAATAAAGAGACAGGAAACGGTGAATGTGTGGGCAGAAATAAAAGACTGTTATATTTTTAAAAATGTCTTTACAGGACAGTTGGCTGATGGAACTGAATCTTGATTATTCTGATGTCAACATCCTCGTTTTGATACTGTTTGTGGACACTGGGTAAAGGGTACCCAGGTATCTAGGATCTCGGGGATTCTTTTTTGTTTTTTTTTTTTAAGATTTTATTTTACTTATTTATGCTCAAAAGTGTATTTATTTTGAGAGAGCCGATATCAAGAGTTGGATGCCCAACCAACTGAGCCACCCAGGCACCCCTAATATTTTATTTTTCAGTAACCTCTACATCCAACGGGGGGGGTGCGAACTCACAACCCTGAGATCACGAATCACACGCCCCACCAGCTGAGCCAGGCAGGCGCCCCTCTGTGCATCATTTCTCCCAACCTTCCTGGGGATCTCCAGCTATCACAAAACACCAAGTTTCACAAAAAACGACTGACTGGTTAAAGTAAAAAATAATAGTGATGGGCACTCAACCGTTCTACTCCTAGATGTACACCCAAGAGAAATGAAAAGACAGGACCGCTCAAAAAAACCTGTATGTGAATATTCACGGAAGCATCATTCATTAATAGCCAACACGTGGGCGGGGGGACACGAAACATCTAGTGATTGCTGAATGGATAAATAAAATGTGGCATACCCATGCAACGAAATGCCATTTTGCGGGGCGCCTGGGTGGCTCTGTCGCTTAAGCCTCTGACCTCAGCGCAGGTCATGATCTCACAGCTCGTGAGTCTGAGCCCCGCGTCCGGCTCTGTGCTGACAGCTCGGAGCCTGGAGCCTGCTTCGGATTCTGTGTCTCCCTCTCTCTCTGCCCCTCCCTGCTCATGTGTGCGCTCTCTCTCTCTCTCTCTCTCTCTCTCTCTCTCAAAAATAAACATTACAGTTTTTTTTTTAAATACCATTTTGCAATAAAAAGGAATAAAAGCGAAACACGCTAAAACATGAAAACATGATGCCAACGGAAAGAAGCCAGTCACAAAAAGCCACACATTGTGAGATCTTCTTTATATAAAATGTCTGAAAAGGGCAAATCTAGAGACACAGAAGGGAGACTAGGAGTTGCCTGGGGCTTGAGGGTCAGGAATAAACGGGAGGGACTGCTGATGGGCATGATTTTGGAGGAGGTGATGAAAATGTTACAAAATGTGCTGATGGCTGCCCAGCTCTGTGAATGTACTAGAAACCATTGGGTTATACACTCTGAATGGACCAAGGATACGGTATGTGAATTATTTCTCGATACAGCCGTCATAATGACAGCAACGACAAGAATGGCAATGTCTCGCAGGCTTTGACACAAGCAGAATCCAAGAATGTGATAACGAGAATATAGAGGCTGGGAGGGGACATACAACCATCCTGTTGTCAGGTTCTCGTGCAGAAGTGGTAGAATATTATTGGATAGTAATAGTGTATGTGTACTATAACCCCTAAAGCAACCACTCAAAAAATTTTTGGCGGGGGTGGGACGGCGCCTGCGTGGCTCAGTCAGTTAAGCGTCCGACTCTTGGTTTCGGCTCAGGTCATGATCCCACGGTTTGTGAGTTCGAGCCCAGGGTCAGGCTCCACACTGACAGCAGGAAGCCTCCTTGGGATTCTCCCTCTTTCTCTCTCCCTGCCCTTTCCTGCTCACCCTCTATCTGTCTCTCAAAATAAATAAGTAAACTTCAAAAAAAAAAGTTTTTAAGTATAGCTAAATAAACTAATATAAAGGAGATAAAATGGAATCACGGAAACCGCTCAAGGCAAGGAAGGCAGGAGAAACAGAAGGAAACAACAACAAATCCCCAGGAGAGGGAGGGGCTGAGTGTAGAGGGGAGGAAGGGGGACAGATAGGTGCGCAGGGACAAGATCAGGCAATGGCCTGGGGGCTGGGCAGCAGGGGGCGGGGGGCGGGGCAGTAAGCGGCCATAAGAGTGAGTTGACCCCTAAGGTATGCTCATTCTAGGTGCGGTGTGGAGGGTGGGGAGTGCGCCAACCCACGTGACACAGACGAAAAGCAGGTGGCTTGGGATTTTCGTTCAAGGGACTGATGAACGGGGACGGGGACGCAAGATGGATGAGGTGGGAGGGAGGGAAAGGGAAGGATCCAGAATGGTGTAAGTGCGGCCTTTCGTAACGACTCCATGAAAGGTGGGAGGATGGCTGAGGAGTGAGTTTCTGGGCTTGCTGACCCCCAGAGGCTGCGGGGACAGGAGGAGACCGGGGGAGCCCGCACAGGACATCTGGAGACAACCCCCCCCCCAGCCCGCCTCGCCCCAGCTCTCAGTGAGCAGTGGACAAACAGCAGGTGTGCTTCCACTGTGTGGATGGGGACAGAAGACGCTAGGACAGATTTGGCTGAGGAGAGAGAGGGAGTCCAGGAGCACCCATAGGAAAGACTTGGAACCAGGAGGCAGGAGTCCGGGGAGCAAGGACACTGAAAACAGCATTTAGAAGTTCTGCAGTAAAGGGCGGGGGGGCAAGAGAAGGGGTCACAGGTAAGGGAGCACGTGTGGGGGCCTGACAGTTTCTGAGAGGGACGCATGGAGCCCGTCGATTGCCGGTGGGGACGGCGGGCAGGGAGGGGGAGACACACGCAGCCCCTGCCCGCCAAGCCTCGCCCCTGCCCACCCAAACCTACAGCGTCACCGCTGCCAGGAAGCCTTCTCTGAGTACAGGTACCAGGTATCTGCCACCGGAGCAGGCTGCTGGGGGCACTCGCCGCTGTCTACACTGCTCTGCGGTCATTACCTGCCTGACAGCCCCCTGAGAGACAGGCCTGACATCGGTCCCGGCTCAGCACCTTGCTGG